CGTATTCACCTTCAACTGATTCAAGATGGCCGCCACAGCTAATTATCGTCTGCCAGTTCAAAAATGGCTACAACTCAGTTCATATCTCAGGTCCCGAACTGAAACTCTGATGTGAGTAGCTGAAGGTCACTCCCAAGAGGAGATCTCACAGCGATGCAGAAGATTAGATCTAATGGGCCATTCCCATCTGTACCGGGTCGGCCCGGGCCGGGTAGCCCCAGTCGGCCCCAGCCTGGCCCGGTTGATTCCACACATCCTTGTCTCAAGCCCATGTGGGCTGATTCTACCCACCAATCAGAGGCTTGCTCTAATGGAAGGTGTGAATTTGCTGTCAGCAGTGGGTGTGTTGGCCCTGGTCGGCCTGAAGCAGACCCCCTCGAGAAGAGGGCTGAGAATGAGCCTTGGTTGGCCCGGAAAAATACCAGGCCACCCAGATATGTGAACAACCTACGCTACCCGGCCCGGGCCGACCCGGTACAGATGGGAATGGCCCATATATGACTCATTTCTTAAAGGGACACTTGGCAACTTTTTCATATTTTTAAATAATTTTCCTTAGCCAGGATGTGCTAATATGCCCCTTTACAGGGTTAATGAAAGGCCACCCAGCCCCTATTGCCCCCTGTGGCCAGAATATTCCACATGTAACTTCAGACTGGCGGGCCGCTCTGCTGGGACTGGGATTGAGCTGACACACCTGTTTTAGATCATGAACACAACTGAAGTGATGAATAACTCTTGTAGACAATAAGGACGGCTGGGGAGACGTTTCCGCTGTTAGATTAAGGTGTTAGGAAGACGAACGCACAGCAAAACAGACACTAGGGGGTGCTGAAAGCAAGCCAAAACTGCCTAGTCTCCCTTTAAAGGAGACATAACATGAAAAACCCCCTTTTTTATCCATTAATACAGTGTGTTTCACATTTTAAGTGTCTAAGTGAGCATAAAACCTTATATTGTTCACTAGAGTTGCTATTTAGATATTTAATAATTACATTTTGGGCATATTCGTCCACCCGTTCAGTTTTTCAAAATACCCAATACATCAGAAACTTATTTCGTCACAATAACTACCAAATATGGTCATGGCCCTCGGCTAAACACAGAGCTAATTCGCCATTTTTTCTTCTCGCTAAGATTTTTGTAGTCCTATTGGAAAAATGCAGAATGTCTGGTTATTTTAGCCACACACAGCTCAAAACTGTTCCTCGTTGTAAGGAAGGGTGGTGTGTATTTAAACTCTCCCCACGTTTTAAAAATGCTAATATAACGTTTCTGCTACGCTAAATAATGATTTCTCCATAGAACTACAAAGTCCAACCGGGGGAGGAGAGTACAGGTCTGCACTGTGGAGGGGGGCGGAGTTTACAGCTCCTCCTCCAGATTTAAAGAGACAGTACCCAAAAACGGCTCATTCTCAAGACTCTCCTCAGGACAGGGGTGGATGAGGGGTCTGTAGAGCAACAATAATGAGGAAATCAGACCAAAAAACTGCAGTTCCACTGTATTTAGACCCCAACTGAAGGATTTAGATGTAAAAAGGAATAACCTAAAAGTATGTCATGTCTCCTTTAAGGTGAGATGACAGTCTGGTTTTCCTAGACGTTCTGTTAGGAATGACAGGACTTTAAAAGTCTGTGGGTCACTTAGACACCTGCTGCTTAACAACGTTCATTTTTAAATTATGCACACCTTTATGAAACAAACTTCTTGTTAAAAGAAAATCAAGTTATTTAACCTTTGTTTCACACTTTGCGCAGCATATTTTTGTTTGTGTTGATGAGCTTCCCAGAAAGGTGTCGTCTCTATTTTATGTTTGTCCTTCAATTAAGCCCATTCCCTCGCTCCAACACACCTCCCTTAGATAAACGAGTAATTCACAGGCTTCTGCACAACTCAGCATGATACGAAGGTGACTAAACCCTTTAAGTCATGTTTGCTGGAGCAGGAAACGCGTAAAACCTGCAGGATGGAGGCCATGGAGGTGACCTTCTGGGCCTAAAGGGGCAGACTTGACACCTCAGTAGATCCAGTCGGACCATTAATAAAGTGTTTATGGTTCTAAGTGTGACACATGGGATGGTGGTGATGACATGTGGAGGCGCTTTGGAGCCAAAACAACAAATGCAAAAACAAAAACTGACAAAATAGATGAAATAATTTAAAACAAGGCAGTGGAATGTTCTTGAGATGAGGAAAAAGGAGCAGAACATCTGACCTGCAGCTACTCATCACACCTGCTGAGTGTGTGTGTGTGTGTGTGTGTGTGTGTGTGTGTGTGTGTGTTGCAGGTGGTTTTCTGATCAAACATGCATAATTTCTCTACTTGATTGCCGACAGTGGATTATTAACCAGAGTAAATGTTAACAGCTCGGCTCATGCCAACCTTTTGAAGTCGCTGCGACTTCAATAGAAGAAGAAGAAAAAAAAAACTCATGATGAAACTCTGGTGAAATTTCCCTTTAAGACTGATTCCAGACTGATAGAAAAGCAAACTCGGTCTTGTTCATGCATCCCATTGTCCTGATCCTCATCTCCTCCTAAGATCCTTCCTACCCTCACATCCTCTCATCACTAACATCATCTCACATTCCCTTTCACCAGGTTAAAGTGGGAAGAGCTGCAGAAGCCAGGGTAGTGTCTCAACTCAAACAGAAGCAAAGACAGTCAGTAGAAACCAGAAGAGTTATTATTAGCAGTCTATTATTAATATTATCTTAATTATTATTACTAGTATAACTGTTATTAGGATAAAATAAAGTTCCTTGGCCCTTGCTGATGCAGAGAGAGAGGGTGCAGGCTATTGACAGCAGAGCAATGGTTCCATGCTGTTCCCTTTCATCCCGCTGGGATTTAAATCCGTCAGTCCAGTAAAGAGGAGGATAATCCACTTTCAGGTTCAAAGTTCTTTCATTGAGAATATTCCAGCAGGTAAAAAAGCTTGTTTTGTTCAAATCCAGGAGGTCTGCAGGAGACTTTAATCCATTTTTATTCCATAACAGATTCAGGGTTTAGGTAGTCGGAAAGAGAGCATCAGGAGCTGATTGTAATCCCAGTGTGATCATGCTTGTTCCAACTTCTGTGGAGGAAAAGTGCTTAAAGTTGAAATGTTGTCCTTTTGTGTCCTACGTGGTCCGAAGAACTTGTTTATGAGGACATTTTGGCTTGAAACTAAATCCAGCAGCTTTAAAACTGTTTCTTCATTATAAAAATACACCTGAAGTATAAAATTATTAAATTCAAGGTCAATCAAGACATTTACTTTAGGAGGGTAAACTGATGGTAAAGTTTATCCTAAACCAAGGCAGGGTTATCTGAAAGGTGACGTTATTACTCTGTCAGGGAAAGTAATCAAGTATGTTTTCAGTAACACATTCTGGTAGAAACAATTCAAATTCAAATTCAAATTCAAAAATACTTTATTAATCCCAGAGGGAAATTGATTCATGCAATACCTTCAAATTATTGGCTCAAAAGGTTTCAAATAGGAAAAATAACCCAATCTATCTATCTATATAGATATCTATAGATACATATCTGTATAGAAATCTATAGTTACATATCTATACAGATATCTATAGATACATATCTGTATAGAAATCTATAGTTACATATCTATACAGATATGTATCTATATAGATATCTATAGATACATATCTGTATAGAAATCTATAGTTACATATCTATACAGATATGTATCTATATAGATATCTATAGATACATATCTGTATAGAAATCTATAGTTACATATCTATACAGATATCTATAGATACATATCTGTATAGAAATCTATAGTTACATATCTATACAGATATGTATCTATACAGATATCTATAGATACATATCTATACAGATATGTATCTATAGATATCTGTATAGATATGTATCTGTATAGAAATCTATAGTTACATATCTATACAGATATGCATCTATACAGATATGTATAGATACATATCTGTATAGATATCTATAGTTACATATCTATACAGATATGCATCTATCTGTATAGAAATCTATAGTTACATATCTATACAGATATGCATCTATACAGATATGTATAGATACATATCTGTATAGATATCTATAGTTACATATCTATACAGATATGCATCTATACAGATATGTATAGATACATATCTGTATAGAAATCTATAGTTACATATCTATACAGATATTTATCTATAGATATCTGTATAGATATGTATCTATAAATATATATAGATATGTATAGATACATATCTGTATAGAACTCTACAGTTACATATCTATACAGATATGTATCTATAGATATCTGTATAGATATGTATCTATAAATATATATAGATATATGTCTCATATCTATGTATAGATATAGATCTGTCTATAGATCTGTAACTAATGATATATATATATATATATATATATATATATATATATATATATATATATATATATATATATATATATATATATATATATATATATATATGGAGTCTTAATAAGAACTAAGAGAACGGAGCACATTACTCCTGTTCTTAGATCTGTACACTGGTTCCCAGTAAGCCACAAAAGATTTCAAAGTGCTCCTACTAGTTTATAAATCACTCAATGGCTTGGGACCCAAATACGTGTCAGATCTGATTCCTGTATATACACCCAATAGGGCTCTGAGATCCTTAGGAAAGAATCAGCTTGAACCACGGGTCAGAGCCAACAATGATGGAGATGCTTTTAGCTGCTATGTTGCTCACATATGAGCATATATATTTATAGATCTCTATAAATATCAGTCATCGATAGATATTCATTTATGGATATCCATAGATAGATAACTTGGGTTATTTATCCTATTTATATAACTCCTAAATCTTGATAAGTGAGTGTGAACTGCAGAGTTAGAGAATAGAGTGCAAATCTCTCTCTCTCTCTCTCTCTCTCTCTCTCTCTCTCTCTCTCTCTCTCTCTCTCTCTCTCTCTCTCTCTCTCTCTCTCTCTCTCTCTCTCTCTCTCTCTCTCTCTCTCTCTCTCTCTCTCTCTCTCTCTCTCTCTCTCTCTCTCTCTCTCTCTCTCTCTCGTTTAGTTATTGTGTTAGAAACTGAAACAGGGAATTTGAATGGTGATGCCTGAGATATTTTTGTTAAAGAAATTTGAATTGGACTTTGTGTTTCCTTTGCTTTCTGTTTTAATCTCCTGTGTGTGAAATGCATTTATTTCTTTTACCTCTGTCCTTGTTAATCAAGTCCAAATGGAACCTAAAAGTTGGCCATGTTGCGCTACAGAGAAGAATCCCATCGACCAACCATGACAAGCCCTTGAGTAGAAAAAAAAACAGACAAACATTACATCCAAAAGGGGTCAAACTGTCTCCATAAGCATCTGTCACATCAGGATCTGTTCTGTTCTCACAGGTGTTTAAATCCGCTGAGTCTTAAAATTGTTGAAGAAAATCCCCAACTCCTTCTTGTTGAGTGCCCCCCCCCTCTCTCTCTGTATCGCTCCATCTTTGTTTATTTTCCACCATTCAGCAAAAATATAAAACCGTTTCCTCTCTCTCCTATAGCTGCGTGGTGACCGAGTCCTCTATGACTTCACAGCTGTCCTCTATGACATCTTCACATGGTCCCACCCATCCGCCCATCATCATCACCCCCCCTCTTCCTCCTCCACCATCCACGCCACCCACACCCGCTCCTTCCGTGCCTTCGCTTTGGAAAACGTCCTCGCTGGAGTCCAGGAGGCGCGAGCTGGACTCAGACATGTTGGAAGCACAGTGCAGAGATTGGCAGGGACACGGGGGTGGGAGGGGCAGTGCCAGGAGTGAGTCCCGCCCGTTCGTTCTCAGCGGAGAGAACGACGGGTTGTCCACCAGACAGCCCACCTCGTTCAGGTGAGTGTCGCTTCTGGTGACGTCACTGAGTCCAAAGTCGGAGTGGCTGTGGCTCCCCAGGGGGCGGAGCAATCCGTCAGAGATGGTGTAGGAGGATGGGGACTGGAGGGGGAGCGGTGTAGGCGGGGCTTTGCGTTTGGACCGGGAGAACAGGTAGGAGAGGCGTTTGAAGGAGTCTGTTTTTGAACTCGGAGTGGAGAGGCGCTGCAGACGGTTCTTCGTTCGAGCGAGCGAAGAGGAGAATGTGGAGGAGAACGATGACGATGGAGAGGGGAGGACAGGGGTGGAGGACGGAGGGATGACTGCCGTCTTCAGGCCGTTGCTCTTTGGTTTCCCCTCCTCTTCCTCCTCCCCTTCCCCCCACCCCTCATTCTCCTCCAGCTGCCCGTCCCGCCCTCTGTCTATTCGCGTCATTCCCGATATGGATCGCACCAGCGCAGATACGCCGAGCGTTGGCCCTGACCTTCTGTCTTCTTCCACCGGGTTGGAGAAGGTGACGCTCTTCGACTTCTGGACTCCAACTCCTCCAACCCCTCCCCCACCTCCGCCACCATCCCCCGATTCACTGTCATCCTCTGATGCTCCAGCCGCATCATCTTTTGTTGTTTCACTGGAGGAGGAGTAGTGTCGCCGTGGGGGACGCCGGTTACCGAGGAGATCCAGCACCTCGTAGCGGAAACTGGAAATATCCTGCTTCAGCTCCTGCAGGAAGACAGAAACCCACCGTCAGCTGATTCAGGTTTAACAGAAAAGGCTTTTCAACAGGGTCCACTTCATTTTTGATGCCTTAACCATGAATGAGGAACCTGAGTTGGAACGAAGAGGGTGAGGAGGGTAAGTAGGAGGGATGAGGCTGGTGGCAGCCGTAGAGAGAGGGGAGGTGAAGCATCAGTTAGTGGAGGTGGAGAGGAGGAGGAGCAGAGGAGAGACAGAAAGAGTGAATGTATAGTGAACCTGAGGACAAGAGTTAGTAGAGAAAGTGGTTCACTCAGAGGAAATACTCGCTTCAGTTAAACAGATTCATTCAGATTCAAAGAATGAGAGACATGTTGCATCAGGATCATCTACGTACTTCGGATAAGGTACGTGGAAAACTGATGAACTGTTCGTATTGGGAATAAATATGTGTGGTGTGCAGCAACTTGGCAAGTACGACACGCTCCACATCAACAAAATTCACAAACGTTCCCTGGTCAGACGCGAAATCTCGTGAGATCCATTGTGACTTTGAAGTAAACAAACATGGTGGAGGTGGAGCCTGCTACACGATTGGCTAAATATCCCATTCATCAAGCAGCACATTTATTTGTGCCCGGCAATCAGACGGAGACAACCTAACATGTTTGAAAGCCGGTATTCATGAGCTGAGCTGTTCCGGTGGGCTTCACAATGGACCAGAGTGCTCCTAACACACCACACACAGCAGGGAAATCTGATAAGATAATCTTTAGAGCCTTTACAGTTGTCAGTTGGTGCTTAAGATGGTTGTGATGGGAAGAGGGGTTCAAAAATCAGCATGGTTATCCTTCAGTGTCTACCGGGCCGAGCGTCAGACCTTGGTCATAATAAAAATGTTTTATTACAGTAATTTATAACTTAATCTGGAGTTGAGTTGAACCGTTACATTTAATCAACCTTTTAATATTTTTTCCAAAAAGACTCACAGGAAGTGAACAAAGAACATGGTAACATTTGGAGTCAAGCCAAATCAAGATGGCTGCCAAAGTTGGTTGACCTTGGCAAACACAAAAATGGCTTCAACTCAGTCAGTTTCACAGATATAATTTACTAGGGAGTCAAGATTTGTCCCTAGCATTTATTTGAAGCACTTCATTGTTAGTTATATTTTTATTATTCGACATTTCAGATGAAAACCCTTTCCTGGTGTTACGGCCGCCGCCGTTTTGGAGCCCAGTGGTGTACTGTGCTCCGTTCCTTGTTCAGCAGCAGCAGCAGCAGCGCAGCACCGTGGACAGCTACTCCTTTGGAAGCTGTCCTTTATTTCAGGACCATGGACAGCGCCAGGGCAGCAGTCACGCCAGCTGGGACTTTGCACCTCATCAGCTGGCCCTTCAAAAGCGGCCAGCTGGAGCTCATCAGGGGAGAGGAATGTTTGGTGGTTGCAGCAGCAACGTGTGGTTCTCTCCCCTTGGTGGTTAACTTGTCTGACGGTTTTGTGGTTTAAACCACTTTGTTTGTTTCTTGCGAAGAAACAACTTTAAGACTTTTGTGCGTGTTTGGGATTAGTTAAGTTAAACCGGTAATTTTTGGTTTGGTGAGTCATTTAGACTACCTTTGGTAAATTCCCAGGTGGGGTTTTCCCCTTTTGAAGTCTGAGTTCCTGAGCTATTTTTAGTGGTTTGGACACTTTTGGTTTATTCAGTGTTTTTGTTTGGTTTGTCTTTCAAACAAACCTTTTTGTTTAACTAACTGGGAGGGGGGTTTTGCCTCTTTTTGAGTTTTATTCCCTTTTAAATAAAGGGGATTAATTATAGGATTTATAGAGTGGTTGGTCCTCTGGTCAGTTTCAGTTAATTAATTAATGTTAACTTAGTTAATTTCTAGGTAAGGGTTTTTTTCCCCTTCTTTTGGTTCTTTTTTTGTAATAAAACCTTTGAAACTACAAGGACACTTTGAGTTTGGTTTTGCTTGGTCAAGCCTTTTTCTCCCCAATAAGGGTCACTTTTTGTTATACTGGTCCATCTTATGTCTATTCCCCTCTCCTCCCTAGCTGTGCCCACAGAGGGGTGTAACACCTGGTTTTTGGTCAAATATCTCATTAACAACCAAATAAACTAGACAAAGTCGAAGATGGATGTTGCTACATCTACAGCATGTGGATTCAACCCCATTCAAGATGGCTGACACATCTTACTGACATTAATAACACAAATACGGCAAAAACTCAGTTGATTTAGTAGCTGTTGGGCTAACATCTATTTATTCATTCACAAAAACAAAGATCTTGCTGCACTGTAGGAGATGTTGTGATTTTATTTAATTAATTACTGCTGGTGTTCGAACCTGAAGGATGTTTGCATTCATTCAAGAATACTAGGTCTTAAGTAAAAGAGTGCATTTTTGCATTTATATAGAAACACAACTCAGTATTTAAAACTAAAACAAGCCCTAATAAAACTTGACCCTGTTAGCGCTCACCTCCATTCCACCTTAAACACAAATCAGACGTCTATAGAGAAACTCATTTTATTTGATTAGTCAGCACTGAAACCACCTGGGATCAGCACAACTGATTTCCATTTCCCTTTAAATCCCTCACAAATCTAATTTAGCCTGTAGCTCTTACAGATACTTTACATAAATACCCGCACACACTCTGTTTTCCATCTCCCTTCTGTTCTCTCTCTGCTATAAAAGCACAAAACAAGATTTAGACCACAGAAATCGGCTCACAGCTACTTCAGCAGCTTTTTTCTTTTCCATTTGCCAGGCAGGATCCAAGCTCTTGTAATGATTTAATTTACATGTTATTTAATGAGCCATAAGACATGAGATTCCATAGTAAATATGAAATCAACCTTTTGGATCTGTGGGTACTTTTTAACCAGAAGATTGGAACTTTTTATTGCAGGGATTAGGTAACAGCTTTGTATGAACTCAGAGACAACAGAAGAGAGAGTCAAGTTTTAGAAGTTTAAAGATTCATTATTAAACAAATTAAAACTAGACTAACTTTAACACTAAATGTATGGTGTAACTAAGGCGAATGAGACGGAGAATGGTGTAGTGTGGAATGTTGTTCAGAACCAGCAAATCCGAAGAAACGATTAGTTCTGGTGGGAGTGAAGGTGATGTCTTCGCGCTAAGCTTTGGTTAGGAGATTTATAAACACATAAGACGCCATCCTGTCGGTCTACATACCCTTTCGGAAGTCCCTGTTGGATCAGGAATGTCGAGGTCCAGCTTGACCCTCTCTGGAACCGAAGCCGGTAGGAAAAGCAGCGGTTGCCGACCAGACCAGTCTTTGAGATACTTCCGGGTCACGACAGTTTTGTTGGCATCTAGCGAGACCCAAAACTGGGTCGTGATGGTTCAGCTTTTATTCTGAAAGGAACCGTTGCAGCTGTTGGAACAGCAACAGATTTTATCCAGCTTGTCGTTGGTTCTTTCGGCTGAAGAGGAAAGTTACGGATTGGCCCCTCTGACAACTTCTCTAGAACGCTTTGAACTGGCGTTAAAGATGACGTGGGCATAGTTTTATACTTCAGATGTTTTGTTTTATGGTCGAATGAAAAGATGACAGATTTACCAAGCACCACCAAAACCACGCCTCCGTCAGATCTGGCAGATTCTGATTGGATCAGTAAAAGCAATGTGTCATGTCTTTTAACGCTACGAGAGATCGGTCCTAGTGGAAACATTTAAAGTCATATTACTTATTATATTCTATAGGATTATAATAACGTAATTAATATTTTCATTTCACAGATTGGTCACATCTTGTTATTGACTAACATTTTGTTTGATTAGCTTTATTAAAATAAAGTTTTTCTGATTTATTAAAAAGAGAGAGTCCTTTGTTTTTATTCTTCTCTTGAGCTGGAAAGAAGCAGTTTAGAAGCAAATGCATGAGACCTTGAGGCAATATCTCATGCTGATTAGTTCTGTGTCAGAGGAGAGGGGGAAAATTACTTTTGGTGGAAAACAGTCATTTCATTCCGTTACACTAGCATGCAGTATTTATTCCTCAGAGAAAAATAACACATACACACACCAACATGGGGAAAGGCATTACAGGAGAGAACAGTGTACCTGAGGAGCTCCCAGAGGAGCTTTCACTTCAAAGCTGGGCTCCAAGGGCATCATGGGAGACCTGATTGGCTCAGAGTAATTTACAGCTCAGAAAGAAAGACTGAGGTAAAACAAAAAACCCTCGACAGCGAGTCACAGTGGCTGGTTCGGAGCAGGAAGAAGAGCTCTCTTAATAAATGTCAGCAGCAGTAAAAGCAGCCATGTTTACACGGGCACCATCACAAATAAACCATCGTGTCTCTGATGGTTGAGCAGAAGAGGCTCTGCAGAGCATCAGGAGTCCAACTCTGCCCTCAGTTTATTTACATCCTAGTTACCATGACAACAGCAGCTCCTCCTCACCTTAAAGTTTTCCTCTGTCAGCCCTTCGTCTGTTTTGGCGCTACGGATCATGGCGGCCACATATCTCTTCACCAGACTCCGGATCACTTCCTGTTGGAGACAGTTACCATGGTTACGAAGATTAACAGGATATCAGCCTACATTTTTATTTCAGTTCAAAGCAGCTTTGCACTGCAAATACTAGATCAAGAGATGAATTATGAAAAACACTATTTATTTTATTTTATTTTGCTTTTAACTCCTCAAAAGAACACCATCCTGGATCAGCGGTGATGCGTTAGTAGCCTCAACGCTAGGTAGATACGTTCCTGACATGCATGATGTTACCTACTAAGGTCCGAAGACCCTGCTACGATACTTAACTCAGACAGGGTTTGCACTGGGCTCGGCTTTATATACGACCGAGTTTAATGGGTCTACAACGTCCTTAGAAAGTTCTAGGTTATTTATAATCAGGGAAGCAGTCTAAAGGGCTCCTGAGTGGAGCATATCCATGATTTGTGGGCCTGCATGCTCTGGTGGGGCTTTTTCATCAAGCAGGACTACACCTTTGGTGCCATGCTAACAGGATGTTACCTGGAGGTTTAGTACCAGGATGGGATGGGGGGGCCAAAGTTCGTAAATGGGAATTTGCTAATGATGAGAGTGAGGTGAAGGTGCAGGAGAGCAGAGAACACCAATCCATCAAGCAGCAAACTAAGAGCACGGCAGAATTAGGTTTAAAAGTAGAAAATTACGTATTTGGTCTCCAAACTTGTCTAAATCAAATGCAGAATCTCCCTCGGCTGTGAGAAACTTTTGCAAAGGTTCTTCTTGTGTGAGTTGCAGAGCCTCGCTATCTCTGTGAAGGTGCTGGAACTTCAAACAGGAGCAACAGCACCAAGAACGGGCATCTGCAAGCCTCATCAATCGCTTATGAAAGTCGGAAAATGCAAGAAATGGAAAGAGTCTTTGGGATTGGGTTGGCTGTAAACCTGGGAAGGAAATGGGAGTAAACGGCAAACAAAGCGGATTGTATGGAAGACACTTTGTGACCAAATTGCAACATAAAAATCACATTACTGTTGCGTGGATGATGCAATAAAAAAAATGCCTGCATGCCACATGACCGGGCTTCATCTAAAATGTCTCCTGTTCAATGTGAGTCTAACTGAATGTTTGTGTTTTTACTTCTAGAACAGAGTTTGTGCGACGGCTGTTTCAGGGATCTTAATCCGCCGTGAAGAGGAGGCTAACATTTAAACCAAACCATCTAGTAAACAACCATTTAAAACCTGTTTGCATCCTCCAGTCTCTTCTCCATTGTTTACACAGTGAATGCAGCTGTCTGCACTCCGTTTATCCTAATTAGTTCACAAATTAAGGCAAATTGAACTAAATGAGGAGGAAGAAAAAGAAAAAAGAAAAATATTTATTCCTTCTATTTAAATAAAATGAGCGGGTGAAGATTTGCTGAAGCAGTTGGCTTGTTTGCGAGAAGAAGAAGAAGAAAATATCATTTCTATAGCGCCTGTCAAGGTAAAAATCACGAGGTGCTTCACAAAAACAAAAAATGTAAAAATATAAAAAAGCATTTAGAAAATGTTGAAAAATATATTTAAAATGAGCAAAAATAGACAATTGTGATTAAAAATGTTAAGAAGGAGAGAGAGTGAATAGGAAAGAGGGAAATCCTGAGGAAGGTGGAATAGGTGGGGAGAGCAGAATAAAGAGAGAGTGGTGATGAAGGTCATACAAAAGCCAGCTTGAACAAGTGAGTCTTCAGCTGCTTTTTAAAGGAGACCACTGAGTCCACCGATCTCAGGCTCAGGGGGAGAGAGTTCCAGAGTCTGGGGGCCACAGCAGCAAATGATCTGTCACCTTTGACCTTTAGCCTGGTGCTGCACAACCAGTAGGCTTTGATCACTGGACCTCAGGGACCTGCTGGGAGTGTAGGGACTAAGAAGATCACCAATGTAAGATGGTGCTTGTCCATGTAAGGCCCTATAGACCAGAACCAGGATCTTGAAATGAACCCTGAAATTGACTGGCAGCCAGTGAAGCTGGAGGAGAAGCGGGGTGATGTGGGTGTATTTGGAGGACTTGATCAGAAGTCCAGCACAGGCATTCTGAACCACCTGTAGACGGTTCAGGGAGGTTCTGCTCAGACACGTGAAAAGAGAGTTACAGTAGTCTAAGCGTGAGGAGATGAAGGAGTGGAGAACAGTCTCAAGTTCAGAGCGGGACAGAATGGGACTCAGCTTAGCAACGTTCCTGAGATGGAAGAAGGAAGAGCGAACAAGAGAACTGACATGAGAATCCAGGGTGAGAGCTGGGTCAACGGTCACGCCAAGATTCCTGACGGAAGGTTTGGTGTGGGAAGCAAGCTGACCAAGAGAGTCTCTGACTTTGGGATCTAAAGGAATAACTTGCAAAAAACAAGTTCTATAAACGTTTAATATGTTGGGGCTGCGAGCAGCACCGTCCTCTAAAGGAATCAATCAGCCATGATGTGGGTCACCCTCGCCGGTTTAGACCAAAGAAAAACATTTCACAGGCATTTGGTGCCGAGTGGGTGGGCACACACACACACACACGCACACACACACACACACACACACACGCACAGCTCCGTCCCACAGTTAACACTTGAGAGTGCCAAGCAGGCCGGTCTGGCATGCTGTCACTCGGCACCTCTGCCAAAAACACACCACACACTCTGTTAATGTGCAGGACAGATTCCCACAACAACCTTAAAAAAAAGAGACATGGACGCCCATCAAAGGAACAATCAGCGCTGCCAGTAACAAAGTGCAAACACAAAGAACTGGCACTGAAACACACACGCTCGCTGTCGGTTGATTTGTAGCAGAAAAATCTTTCAAATCGAATCCCACAAAAAGTGGACATGAAAGCAGCTCTTCCAGCTGCCAGGGAGCATCACACCGTGTTCTTATTATACCGTCACAGGACAGGAAGAGGATGAGGAAGATGCTCATGTGTCACTAAAGGAAGAATATCGCTCTACATCAAAGGTTTTAGTGGAACGGAACTCCGGCCAAGTTTGTGGGGGAGTTTGGTTCTCTGGTCCAAATGTGTTCTGTGGGTCAGGAGAAGGCTTTCGACCCTGTCCCTTCAAGCATACGGGTGTGTGTGTGTGTGTGGGAGTACGGTGGTCACCTTTAAGGGCTCTCTGGTCAACCAAAAAAAGAGCTGAGTCAGCGTTTTCAACACAAATGGGAGCTCATTTTCTCTTGTTCCAGACTCTGTCTTCGGGAAAAGAACCGCCAACACATTCTCACTCCCAGCGCGTCAAAAACAAACGCTTGGTAAGCCACCCTCCGCGTCAGACCCCTGACGCCTAAAGTGCCCTTTTTCGTCATTTATGTGCGAAAGGGGCTTTTTCCTTTTCTGACTGCAGATCCCAGTGCAGCGTTACACTGACGCGATGGGATATCCGCTGATGCGGCACCGAACCAGCTCACTGAACCGCACCTAAACCTTAACGTTTCACTATTTATAACCTTCCCCTCACCCTCATCCTAACCGTAACCCTCTTGCTACCTAAAACGTTACTCTCACTGTGATCAAGCGTTGGTTTCCCATGCATTCTGACTGTGAATTTTCGTATTTGCCGCCCAAGGGGAACGTTAGAACATACCATCTGGCGAGGGGGAGGTTACAAATACCCTCTACTTTTAACCTCCACCTTGGTAGTTGAAACCTCCCCCTCGCGTTGGCTCAGTCCCTTCAAAGAGCCGGCTTTTAGAGCGATCGACACATCACTAACGTGTTCGCTAGCAAGATGGTTAAGGTTAGGATAGGGGTGAGGGGAAGGTTAAATAAGAGGATAAGGTTAGGGTGAGGTACAATGAGAGTGTTTGGTGCCCTGGGTGCGGACATCCCATCGCGTCAGTGTAACGCTGCATTGGGATCTGCAGTCAGAAAAGGGAAAAACCCCTTTTCGCACATAAGTAACGAAAAAGGACACTTTTGGCATCAGGGGTCTGAGGCGGAGGGTGGCTGACCAAGCGTTTGTTTTTGACGCGCTGGGAGTGAGAACGTGTTGGAACCGCGGGCCTCCCCTCCAAAAGCGGAGAACAGCATTAATAAAAACACAGGAAGTGTGCGCAGAAAATTAGAATAAAAATCAAGACCAATCAAAAATAGCAATTATATAAATGTTGAACAGCTGAAAAGTACATGACAAGTGTGAGCAAGTACAGCACTCAGTGTTTAGTTGGGGCTCCTTTGGTCTTTTGGAGGCGTGGCGTGGAGTCCATCAGTCGGTGGCACTGCTCAGGTGTTATGAGAGCCCACGTTGCTCTGATAGTGGCCTTCAGCTCTTCTGAGCTGTTGGATCTGGCATATTGCATCTTCCTCTTCACAGCACCACATAGGTTTTCCATGAGGTTGGGTCAGGTGAGTTTGCTGGCCAATGAAGAACAGGGATACTACGGTCCTGAAACCAGCTGCTGGTAGCTTTAGCACTGTGTGCAGGTTCCAAGTTCTGTTAGAAAAGGAAATCTGCATCTCCATGAAGCTGGTCAGCAGCAGGAAGCAGGAAGCGCTCCAATACTTCCTGGTAGACGGTCGTGTTGACCTTAGACCTCAGAAAACACAATGGACCAACACCAACAGATGACATGAGACCCCAAACCATCACTGGCTAGAAACTTTACACTGGACCTCGAGCAACGTGGATTCTTTTCCTCTCCTCTCTTCCTCCAGACTCTGGGACCTTGATTTCCAAAGGAAACGCAACATTTACAGAACGGCCAGTCTGTTTTGTCTTTAGGCCAGGAGGGACGCTTCTGATGCTGTCTGTTGTTCAAGAGTGAAATGACACAAGGAAAGCGGCTGCTGAAACCATGCATGGCATATGTCTGTGGTGGTGGTTCTTGAAGCACCGACTCCAGCTGGGTCCAGGGTCTGGTTATCCCTACGGTTGTACGTTTTCCTACCACATCTCGTCCTTCCCTTCACCTCTCTATTAATGTGCTTGACCACAGAGCTCTGAACAACCAGCCTCTTTAGTAAAGACCTTTGGTGTCTTGCCCTCGTTGTGCAAAGAGTCCAGGGTTGTCTTCTGGACAACTATCAAGTCATCAGTCCTCTCCGTGACTGTGTAGCCTACAGAACTAGACCGAGAGACCATTTAAAGGCTTTTGCAGGTGTTTTGGGTTATTAGCTGATTCGAGTGTGGCACCGTGAGTCTTCAATATTGAACCTTTTCATGATATTCTAATAATCTGAGACACTGAATTAGGGATTTTCATTAGTTGTCAGTTATAATAATCAAAATTAAAGAAATAAACATTTGAACAGTATCAGTCTGTGTGTGATGAATGAGTCTAGTGTACACGTTTCTCTTTCTTAACGGAATTACTGAAATAAATATTCTTTGTCATGATACCGTTATTTTATGACCAGCACCTGTAGATCCAGTCTTAAAGCAGAAGGTTTATCTCAGAGAGCACCACCTAGAGGCAAAAACACATACTGCACCTTAAGCCCTCCTCCTACATGATTATGGCTGATTATTATTATTATGGATGATTTTATGTGTGTGTGTCGTGGAGGATGGCTGCGTATACTGAGCCAGGATTCTCTGGAGGTTTCTTCCTGTTAAAAGGGAGTTTTCCTCTCCACTGTCGCTACATGCTTGCTTAGTATGAGGATTGCTGTATAGTCACTGACACTAGTCAGTGTCTTGATGCAATTTGCTGGGTTCCTTATATAGGAAACATTTTTTCTGATTGGCTTAATGAACTGACCTGAATTGGAATGTTTATTATGTGAAGTACCTTGAGACGACTCTTGTCGTGATTTGGCGCTATATAAATAAACTTGAATTGAATTGAATCATATCTACAACTTAATGTAATTAAAATGAAAAAAATGATCATGGATTTTAGAAGGAAGCCACAACAACAGCATGATCTTTCCATAATCAAAGGTCAAACTGTTGAGCAGGTGAAATCATAAATATCTGGGGACAATTATTGATAGGGAGCTGAATTTTGAGGAAAAGTGTGATGCTGTGGGTAAGAAAGGCCAGCAGCGTCTGTACTGCCTTAGAAAACTGGCCTCATTCCATGTGGACAGGACTATAACGTCCATGTTTTATTGTTCTTTTATTGAAAGTCTTTTATCCTTTTCCTTAGCCTCATGGTTTGGCCAGGCAAATCTTAAAAGGAAACATTAAACAGGATTGTAAAGTGGTCGAGTCGTCTGCTTGGAAAACCAGTGAAGAGTGTGGCACAGCTGTACAGTGGGCAGGAGAGGATTACCAGAGCTATTGTTAGGGACACGGGACACCCACTGCATGCCCAGTTTACTCTCCTGCCATCAGGACGGAGACATATTGTGCCAAAGAGCAGGACCAAGAGGTATAAAAGGAGCTTTATTCCTGAGGCAGTGATGCTACTCTATAAGAATTGAGTCTGGCGTGGCAATTTTGTTTTATTTCTATTCACGTATTTATATTTTTTATTGATGTGTGTGTTTTGTGACTGTGTGTGTAACCTGGTCGCTAATTTTCGTGTCACATGGCAAATCAAATTTACCTGCGGGTATTAATAAAGTGACCTTGACCTTGACCTTGGCTGGAAGAAACGCCTCTCCTTCGTGAATGTGCACCTCCGTTTTACAGTTATTATTAACGTCACATTTGCTGTTTACTCATATTTTAAAGATTTATTCATGCATAAGAAATGTTGGAAACTCTGCATCAGTTTGTGATTGACATCCGTCCTTGAGCGTTTGTCCAGCGCTGTTGGCTGATGCTGAGCGGCTCTCAGTTCTGATAGCACGGGGCTCTATGGAACAGGGGACAGGCTTACCAAATAAAATGACATACTACCTACATTATATCCCAGTGCAGAGTAAGACTTTTGTGGAATTCTAAAAAAATAATAAAAATCATAATTTGTGAGAGCTTAAGTCTAGTCCCAGCCTTTAATTGGATTTGGGAGGAAAAAGAACGAGAATTTAGTGAATAATTCAGAAACTGAACCCATGTTTTCTGCATATCTGGGGTAAAAACAACCACCTGAACCCAAAGCAGCGATGTCAGAGTAAATCACACACTCCTGCGGCTTTGTGAGTGTTTAGACCCAAGCAGCGTTCCTCCATTTCTTTCTGCGTCAACACCCATTTATTCCAGACTATTTCTTCCTCATGAATATATATGGAATGGTTTCACTGCTGCGTGTGTTTGGCTCAGTTCGCTGGAGTTCAGCTGCTTCGGACGATGACTGGTGAGACGTCAGGAGTTTTAATTTGTCATGCAAAAGGAGATGTAAAGTCTCATTTATATTCTTCCTGCAGGATCATCAAGGTGGAGCGCTGATGTTCCCGGTCAGGACGCAACAAGGACACAGCTGCACGGGAGAAAATGTGAAGTTTTAGCCGTTGCCACTGACCTGGTAGTGCTGGTTCTGTATCAGACTGTCAGCGTGCCGCTCCTGCAATAATAAAAATAACAGGAGATGAAGTTAAAACCCACAATGCGTCTACATTTATCACCACATCGTTTCATAGACTCTCTCGGGTTATTACTCCACACACCCATTCACTCCTCTGCTCCCATTATTCTTCTCAGGCAGGCTGATAATTCACATCCAGCTCCTTCCAAAATTACATCCATCCACATCTTCCCTCCCTCTCCACAGCACCAAACCAAAACACAACAAGCGGGTAACAAATAGCTCTCGGCCGACACCTTCACAGCTCGTATTGACCGAAATATAAAGCTGTTGAGTAATGAGCTCCCGTTAATTATTTTCACTGCCAAAAAAAAGTGATAAATAACATTTTGGAGAGGAACGTCACGCCCTCCATTCTTCTGCAGCAGAGGCTCTCATCTAACGAGGGGTGGAAATCAGCAGGAGCACGAATATTTCTGCTATAAATCACTCAAAGATGAACTAATGGAGTCAAATGTGATGGAAGAAATCCGGATATTGGTGGAGAGCTGAAGCACGGCGTTGCTATCGCTCCGTAACTGTTAATAAAGTTCAATAACATAATAATAAATCTTAAAAATAACAAGGTCGATGCTTTCTGACAAGCTGGGAGAGTTGATGCTGTTTCAACTATTTAGTCATAGAAATTAACTCAAGCTCCTGCTGTGCTGCTAATATGACCACAAGGTGGCAGTAAGGCTACAAGATGTTTAATTAGGAGAACCCACGAGAACGAGTTGGTCCGAATTCCAACAGATTTTATAAATCTTAGCTGGTTCTTAGCAGCACGACTCTGATCACAGGCAGGTTGTTACTTCATACTGTCAACAAACAACAGCTCGACTTTTCTGTGTTTATTTTACGCTCATTTGAGGCGATAATGGTTTTTAGAAGGTGCGGCTGCAGACTGTCATATTATCACACGACCCTGTAATGACCTCAGACGTGACATCACGTGTAGGTTTTGGATGTGCAAACTGCTTACAGAGTGTTGAAAACCCTGGCTCAAAATTAAATGTTACAACTGCAGCCAGTGGCACATTAGGGTAACCATAGCAAACACACACACACACACACACACACACACACACACACACACACACACACACACACACACACACACACACACACACACACACACACACACACACACACACACACACACACACACACACACACACACACACACACACAGGTCTCAGTCAGACAGGACTTGTCATTACGAAAGCTGACAGAACTTAAATTATGAAAGTTGACAGAACTTAAATTATGAAAGTTGACAGAACTTAAATTATGAAAGCTGACGGTTTCAAAGAAAACTAAAATAAAACTCATAATTAAAGAACAAATAACTGACTTTTGATGCATTCCTGAACGACACATGGCTAAACCAGCTGATAGTTGCATTTCTAACGTTTTAATCAGTCTAGATAATTTATTACATGACAGGTAACATCGTCATTTATTCCTGTGCAGAAAAGAAAAGACTGAACTAAAACATAAAGCGTATCAGTTCAGCCTCGGCACTCAGAGAAAACTAAATGTCCCGCGGACGCCAGACAAACGCCAGGCTTAAGTAGACAAGCACATCTCTGCTGGTTTAAGAACAATGCATGTACTATAAAGGTTGTGGAAGAAAGAAAAGGTTTTCTGCACATATCTAGAACATTTATGACAGTTTAACAGTGCAGAGTGTCGTCCCAACGAGGGAAATCACGACTTAAAATCCATAAAACTTCATCAGTGATTGAGTAAAACTCAATATTCAGCCGTCAAGTCCAACTTTTCATGACTAGTTTAGGTTCTGACTGAGGTTTCTACCTGAGCTAAAATCAGCTTGCGTCTAGAACAAACAACAATAAAAACACTATCATCTGCTTTACTTAGAACCCCTCAGCCTAGTGCAGGTCAGGCCCAGTCTGCTTAGAAACCACTCAAAAATAAAAGCAGTCGCTTGAATTTTCTCTCAGTGGCAGAAAATCAGTGGAAAAACAAACTCTGCGCTCGTGGACGGACATCAGCTGAAGGCACAGAAGGAACATCGGAGCATAAACACATCTAACAGTCCAGTCATCTGGAGACGAGCGATCAGCGTGCTGCGACGAAGCTTGTTCACACCACACACACTCACACACACACACACACACACGAGTGCAGCTGGCATGTTCACCTCAGCTGAGTTATATAAGCCGACCAGCCCACATAGGTTCACAGAGACACACCGCTCTAATCAGCAGAGCGAGAGAGAGAGAGAGAGAGAGAGAGAGAGAGAGAGAGAGAGAGAGAGAGAGAGAGAGAGAGAGAGAGAGAGAGAGAGAGAGAGAGAGAGAGAGAGAGAGAGAGAGAGAGAGAGAGAGAGAGAGAGAGAGAGAGAGAGAGAGAGAGAGAGAGCATAAAAGCAGCGTGAAGCAGAGACTGTTCTGTAGACAGAGGGAGGACGGATACAGGTCTGTGGTGAGAGACAGCATCAGAGTTTTGTTGTCATTGTTTAAAAACACTAAAGGATAAAAAATTTGACGAAACACTAATTAGACAAAAACACAAAAATGTGAAGACATCAGAGACAAAAAGACATAAAATGAGCAGGACGTGAACAAGAGGCAGGTTTAGCGCTAGGAACTCATTCGCAGCAGATTTGATGTGTAATGATGCTAACGCGTTAGCTTTGAAAATTGCAAATCTGTCGCCCGTTTTGCCGTTAGCACGCACAGTTATAAGAGACCAACTGTCTGTGATGTTGTGATCTTTGGTGAGCTTTACACGAGGCAGACAAAACTAGCAAAAACAAACAACAAAGGAATTTAGAAAAAGCCCCGCCCCTTTTTGGCATCTCCGTAGAAACATCGTTTAGTCGGACTTTCGTGACTGAGTCAGTATTTTAGTATCAGCCATCATCTTTACGCAAGTGTTTGGAGCTTTTTCACGGAGCATTTAACTGATGGTGTCACACTAACTTAAAACTGTCTAAAATGTTCAAATGTCTCCCAACAAACTCCGGACTCCCACAAGTTTTTAACTAAATGGCATAAATGACACATTAAAAACGAAGGTATTGTTTTCTTCCACCTGCTGCGTGTCTGTCTGCTGCGGGACTGATGGTCTTCTCTCAAATCCTCCCAGAGTGCAGGGAGATCCCACCCAAACCCCCAGATATCAGCTCAAAACTCTCTTTAACCGTAAATCTCCTAAATAAAAGTTTATAGAAACACAGATTCAGCCTTCTGCTGCTTGTTAGGGTCAGGAATTGTTTTTTTAATGACTCCACATTCCTCCACCAGCCAACAATCAGAAGGTTACTGTCATGTGCTGTCAGGGAGTGAGACACAGCTTTGTTACCATGGTGACCCTAATCAGTCACTGGTAGCAGTTTTAACGAGTTTTTGTCCGAGAATGAGATTATTACAAAGTTGATTTTTCAGCTCTGGGCAGAAACTGCAACAATAATCATGAACATGTGTCTATATTTTATTATTATTGTTCATCTGTAAGCTAACAAACAAACAGAACCCCACTCACAAAGACAAAGCAGTGTGACGCGACTTACAGAAACAGATCTGGAAGGTCAGACCAGTCGACAGAGAATCTGAATCATCCATTTATCATTAAAATACATAAATATTAATAATATAGAGTTGAATTAAAATGATTATAAGCTTTTTATTGTCAGTGAAAACATCCTCTATTAAAATATTAGAGGGTAAAAGAAAAGCATTTAGAAATGAAAGAAATATGTTTCACCTATAAACAAACTGACTTCCTCTAATGAACAATCAGGCTCTATTTCCACTCAGAGGTTCTTGTTGGTTTCTGAGGGCCTCTGTGACGCCTGCTGCTCAGGTGTTTCATCATAATGAGTTAGTCTGCTTCTGCTGTTACATCAGCGTTAATCTTCATCTGGGTTTGGACCCTGAGGCCAGAAGGAGTAAGCAGGACCGTTTAGGCTAGCGGCTAGTCCATGCTGAGTCAGCATAAGAAGCATCACTGATGAAACAGTTTAGAGCTATTGCCAGAGCTGGTGAGGGACCACCTGCAGATTTAGACTGAATTTGATTCTTTTCATTTTTCAGTAGTGACATTCTGGTTTCTGTGTTATTATAGTATGGGCTCACAGCAAATCCTGAAAACTACAAACCCAGTTTTGCAAATAATTTCAGCTTTGATTTGTGTTCTCATCACGATTTCTGGTAGAATCAATCAATCAATCAATCAATCAGTCAATCATCAATCAATCAATCAATCAATCAATCAATCAATCAATCAATCAATCAGTGAATCAATCAAAAATGTTAAATAATTGGGAAACAGATGTGAAAACAAGTCTGACTTAATTAAAAAAATGATTAATTTAATAGCTTAATATTTTAATTATTCAACAAATTTTATTCTGTTTGAGTTTTTCATCTTGCTTTTTCACCTCATCAGCTTCTAGAAGGAATGGCGATTTATTATTATTATCATTATAATAATAACAATTATTATTATTATTATTAATATTATATTGTTATTTCATTATTATTAGTATTTATTATTATTACCATATCATTATTCTTATCATTCTTCTTAATATTATTATTATTATTTGTATTATAATTATTATGACCATTATTATTATTGTTATTATATTGTTATTGTTATTTCATTATTATTAGTATTTTATTATTATTATTACCATTATCATTATTCTTATCATTCTTCTTCTTATTAGTAATAGTAGTATTATAATTATTATGACCATTATTACTATTACCATTACCATTATTCTTATCATTCTTATTAATAATAATAATAATAATAATAAAGTATTAGTTTTTGATCAGTTTCCTGCGCTGCATTGAAACAGCAGCACTATTTGATGATCATATTTAATGTCCTGCCTCGGTTTTGTTGATCATCTCTGTTAATATTTAGTTTCTGTGTTTGCTCTCTCTCTCCTGATGGATTATGGGATGTTTGTGCTCATTATTGTGCTGCTGCTGCTGATTTTGGTGTCACACATCCAGAGTTTTCCTTCGTGGTTTATCGTTTATTCTGCTCTTTGCTCCACATCTCCTCATTAAAAGTATAAATATTGTTAGATGTTTCACTTGAAACCAGCTGAAAATATGAAGAGGTTTAAATAAACAAACGAAACGTTTCTCCTACGTTTCGTATTTCAGGGTTTCTGTTCCTTTAGCGTTCGAGTGAGTTTATCGAAGCTCCTGCTGGTTTATGTGCGATGTCACTCTCGGAGCCTCGCTGGCTACATCAAAGGTCGAACATCAGCAGAACAGGAAGTGACGCGACGGCGCTGCTGCTGATCAACACTTTCTTATTAAGAAGCTGTCAGCGTGGACGCGACACACCGAGCACAAACTGGTTTAATGCTCCGCCTCTGTTTGTGTGGGAATGTGACCTTTTCAGATGAGAAACAGCCGTTTGTAATCGCCTGAGCGGTTGCTCATAATTCACACGCAACAGGACTAAACCAAGCTCGTCTCAGTGCTTCTGCAGGAACGAGCGCCAAACATGGAGGACGTTTTATTCTTAACACGTTTTAAACTCAATCACTTTATTTATTTCTTCTTTTCTTCTAATCTTTTTCCTTTTTTAGTTCTTCATGTCGGTTCACTTGTTTTTCTGTAAGTGTACATTTGTGTTTGTTTTTGTTGTTTTAAATGAGGGAACCGACAAACACAAGACAGGAAAATGGGACAAGCACACACACAGGAGGTTCTGAACCTACAGAGAACATTTATATCTATAGATCCGAGCCACCAACACAGATTTCTGATTCATCATCATGAGATTAAAAATAAAAAGAATTGAAAAAGCACAGATCTCTGTGTTGGTTTGCTTCTGAACTCTGATCACATCCAACACACACATCCTGCAGGCGGTTAAAGAAACCCACAGAAGATTTCCTGACTCCTCTCTGAAGCATCAGAACGATCTGCAGCTCCCGCCGTCGACCTTCGCTCACCGTGAACTCTCGCAGGTTTTCACATTTGTGTGAGCCCTCCCCGGGCGGCTGGCCCCGCCTGCACAGCTTGTTGTGGAGCCACATGAGGAGGTACCACACGGACTTAGGGCTGGGGATGATGTTGAACGGGGGCGGCAGCGTGCCGCCCTCGTCAAAGTAACTCATCCACAGCTTGGTGCGGGCAAACTTCCACTCGATGTCGGCGTGGTCCTGGAAGGGAAGGAGGAGGGGAGAAGATGACTAATGAGTGACTACGTGGTTGGGTGTGTGGTCTCTGCGATGAACCCTTCCTGGATGTCCCAGCAGCTCCCTGTGGCCCTACTGATGAGAGTGTTAGATGGCGAAACTCACGGCGATGAGCTGGTAGGAGTTGTTCATCATGGCGATCAGCATGTTCAGCAGAACCACCAGCGAGATGACGTTGTACGTCCCAAACATCGTCGCCCCGACAAACTCCGTGAACTCGTGGCGAGCCTTCACGTTGGTGACGTACAGGTTCAGCAGCCCAAATATGGACCAGAACAGAGACTGGAGCGTCTCAAATAACCTGGACGAGAACAAAGAAGCAACAAAACATCGAAGACAATAAAAACACGTTTCTGGAGAGAATGAGTGGGCGGCGAGACTGAAGGGGAGAGAAGTAGAGCCTGTGTGGGGCAAGGCTTTAAAGATTCAGCTCCACTTGATTTTCTGACCTCTGCAACCCCGCCTCCACCTGCAGACCCACTGTGGATAAAACAAGAAGCACTTTGTGATCAGATGCATGCGTGGAGCCCTGATCCAGTCAGTTACGGTTCCCGCATCAGGCTGTGCTGCAAATGCAAACCAGCTAACACTTGTGCAAACGTTCTCATCTTGGTTTGGTCTAGACCTGACTTACTGACGTGTCACCAACCCCAAACAATGATGCCCAACTTGTACTTTCGGACTCGCGGAAACCAAACTGAGAAGGTTTGTCCGACTCTGGCTCCAACCCACCGTCCAGATTTAGCTACACCCCCTATCAGGTGACTTCTGCTAATGGCGAGGCAGCTAGCTTTTTATCGTTTTTAAGCCCTTACCACCTTCTGTTGTGACTTATTTGTCATTTAAGTATTTAGTTACTAAAGAAATACAGTCCTGTTGTTAGCACTGAAAATGTATTTGTGCAAGTATTTTATTTTGAAGGGAACCTTCAGGAAATGCACTTTTCTTCGCTGATTGTGTTGTACTTGACGAGAGAAAAAAAAAAGACGTTGAAAGGTTTGGATGTTGCTCAAGTTCTGAAATGAGCATTAAATGTTCAAGATAAAGACGCTGTCGTCCGTCATCATTTTAGAAGCCTTTATTCCACTTCACCTTCCGCACACGCACCAACAGCATCTTACAAACAAAAACAATATAAAATGCAAAGATTCTTGTGTCATAACAGTGATGTCATAGCCTGACCTCCTGCTGACCTTTAACCCATTGTGAGTTTCCATGTTGTCTCCAGGGTTAGCTTAGAAGAACAGTGTTTTCTCCTCCCTACATACATTTTTCACTCCTCATCTCCATCTCTGTGACGCAGGACCTCCTTTCCCATCTTCCACTCCTCTCAAGTGTCTCTGCTCTCGTGGTTCCACCTCCCCCCTCGTCCATCTCTGCCCTCTGTTTGTCTTCCCACGTCTCTCTGTGGTCTCTTTGCGCGACAGCTACAGTTACAGCGGCGGTTATTGAATTTTTGATGAGGCAAGAATCGGCAGTACATCAAGAGAGTGACACAGACAGAGGTCTGTCTGAAGGCTGGTGTATTTATGCTGCATGAAATATTCAGGACTGCAAGGTTTCTGTGTGCTAGGGCCGTGTTCCAGGCAGGAGAGATTATTTCATTAATCACCCACTGGAGCGGCATCCGAGTGACAGTGTTGGGGTTCGTTTCTGAGAGAGGCCGTGTCAGTCAGAGGGGAGGGACCCGGTGTGTGTGGAGGTGGGGACTAAATCAACGATGAGTGAAACACCAGAGCGTGGTGATGTGGGTTATGAAACGAGAACGATGGCAGGACGAAAACACGAGGGACAAACTGTAGAGAGGAAAATGGTGATCTGCGTTTGTTTCATCCTTTTCTTGGTTTTCACAACAGTCCGTCAGGTCTGGTTCCTGTTTGTTATGATATGAACAATCTTTTCTTTCCTACTGTCAACTGATCCTGATAGGGAGACTAAAGCTTGGTTTATGCTTGACGCATTTACCTTCCGCTTGGTGATGCGGCTCGCGGATGGAACGCGCTTCACAACTCGCAGCGTTTATGGTACGTGCGGCTCGTCTCTGCGGTGAGCCAATATTCTCCCAAACTGTAGGGGGCAGCATGGAGCTCTACAGCATGCATCCAACACTACACCATAGTAGAAGTAGAAATTACGGTTTACAACACGGCATTTCAGCATTTTTAACAGCGTCCTCGTCTTTTCCGACAGTGCGAGCTCTTCCTCTCCAAGAATTATTAACAACATGTTGATCACGGTGATCTCTGAGAGCTGAATCATACAAATGTCTATATTTACGAATGTCTGCCATACTAGTTCTTGCCGGTCCGCCATGTTTTTCCGCGTCCGTCCGTCCGCGTGGTTAGAAAATTTCCTAGGTGTGCGTTGCGGAAATTTTGAGCCGTGCGGAGACGCGGTGGAGGGGCGTGGTTGTTAAAATGACGCAATTTCGCCGCGCTGAGCCGTGCGGACCTCGCGGACGCGTCAAGCATAAACCAACCTTGAGTCTCCTCCCTTTTCCAGTCGGCTCACGGGTCCCTGGAAGAACGAAAAAAAAATGAATGCAAGTCAACGGGGCTAAAAACGCTATTTTGTAATCCGCTTTGCCTTACGCCCTGGATCGCTCATATGTTGTACTGCAATTTTAATGAAAAGTAGTGATGTGTGTTTCGACCACGCCAGTCACGTACTTTGAGATTTATTAGCTTGTAAAAGTTTGTAGTTAGCATGAATACAAACTAGAAATTGGCATGCTGCATAATATGACATCATCACAGACTCTCCTCCCCCTAGCATAAGTGCTGCTAACCAAATGGCCAGATTTATGATGGCTCTTTCCTCCTGAGGGAAGGATTTGTAGTTTGCTGAACTTGCAGCTATCTTCTCTCTGCTTTTCTCTGTGTCTGGTTCGATGATGTCACTTTGGCGATGCATATTTGAAGTCCTGTACCTATTTTCACACAAAACCCAAAATAACGTTCCCCCCTGTCCGAAAATAAGCTCGTTCTTGGTATCAAAATGCTTCTTTAAAACTCACGGACATCATATGTGAAATCCATGGCCCAAAACAAGCGGAATTAGAAAATAGCATTTTTAGCCTGAATTCATTTTTTCCTTCTTCCGGGGACCCATGGTCCAGAAGTACTATAGATGGGCGGTGCTTAGGTTCCCTATGCTTTTAGTTGACAAAACAATTGTTTCCCATTGTTCAGACAATGGGAAACAATTAACCCTGATGATAGTGTGGCGAGAGAACAAAAAACAAAAAACAAGATAATTTCTGAGTGATAAAATTAGGGCAGCCGTAATGGTTCTAAAGATAATTCTGTCACATATTCCTGCCATGTGTGGTGTGTTAAGATTGCTCCGTTCTTCTTGGGAGCACATCGGGACCATTTGTATCATTAAGCTAGAATATTCACCATGTTGGGTTTTCAGGGGTCAAACAAGCAGAAAGCGACGCCCAGCACTCCTCTTCTACGGTTTTTATCTCAAAATCTTTTTGACCTCGGGACATTTTGTGTGATTTCACGTCTGACCAGAGAATGTTTGGAGTGTGCTTGTGTGTAGTATTTATTTGCTCTGTGGTCACACACCACACACTACATAACCAAAACTGTCATATCTGTGATTTTCTATCTCCACGTGTGTTGTCTCGTGCTTTTAAAACCCTCCAGCTACTTAAAAATCTTACCGGGGTGGGGTGGGGTGGGGGGGGGGGGGGGGTATCTTTACAGTATGTTCTAATGGGAAACAGGCTTCAACACAAACGGTTGTTTTCTGCTTGGTCCTAGAGCTCAACCAGTGTCAATTTAATATAGCGTAATATTGTTTTTGGATGGTAAAAAGTGCAGGGGTCAAAACTTGACTTTGGAAAAAGTGGGGGGGACATGTCCCCCTGTCCCCCCCCCCCCCCCCCCCCCGAAATTACGTCCATGGTGTGAATCGAGCCCGAGTTAACAAGCAGAGACAAACTGTTTACAGTTTTGCTGACCTTGTTTTAGAGCTCGTGTGACCTCTACATGTTTAACAAACAAATAAGGATTCTGTTCTCACCAGAACACTCTTCAAACATTAATAGTTCAGTTTATGGGTAAACAACCTTTAAGAACCTGAACTGTTTATTTGACCAGTTTTTTCATCAGTTACTTTGTTTCTAAAACCCCATTAAGTTATTAATGACCCTTTGGGTCGTTTTATGGTTCTTCATCCTCTCCTCCTCATCTCTAATCCGGCTGACTGTACCCCCTTCTTCTCTACCCTCCTTCCTCCTCTGGTCTTTCATCTCTCAGTCATAAACTGCTCCAGCTGATCCTGACAGCCACTCAGTCGTTTCTCTGTTATACTTCTGCTGTTATGTGGGAGGTGAACTGCAAAGGAGACTCTGTGTGTGTGTTTTCCAAGTCTCTGTGTGAGAGAAAACAAAGCATGTTTCTGTGTTTGGACTTGGCAACCCGACAGCGTCCAGTGAATCCATGCCAGGGTGCAAAGGTCATTTCTCTTCTAAATAAGTAAGATTTGGTGAGTAGCGTCTTCACAGGTGGTGTGCTTGTGTCATCTAGGTCTCAGCTGTAAAAACACAAATCCAGATTTCCGTCAATTTTTCTGTTTTCCACATTTTTAATCTAAACAGCTCCTTAAACGCCACTACTCACTCACTAGTCGCTGATTTTCTACATGTGATTATTGCCCACTTCCCGTTCATTAACCTGCCTTCAAACACAAATCATGCTTTTGTTTGTCAGAGACATGAAAATGTTTTTTTCATCAGAAGAACATCATCCACCTATAAATAGTATTTTATCATCGCAAATACTTTTACGCATGGATGTGTTCAGAACCGGTTCATGATTATTTATTTATTCTTTGTTTAACCAGGATGAGATTAAAAACCTTGTTTTCAAGAGAGTCCTGGCCAAGAGGGAGCAGAAGTTACAGTTACAACATCTTCAGCTACACAGATATGTTATGTACAAAATTACAGGAGGCAGTTACAACTCAGGGAATCCATCTCAAGGGCTCTTAGTCTGGTTTTAAATGTAGTCGAGGAGATAAACTCGGTTAATTTCCAGTTTTCCTGCAGCCTGTTTCATGCAGAAGGAGCAGAGTGAACTAAAGCCCTTTTGCCCAGTTCGGTGCCAGCAAACTAAACACAAAGTAACAAGTTTGATATGATAAATATAGCTTTAATATTCAGAGGACTCCAAGCACTTTACACTACAGTGTATCATTCACCCATTCACACACACATTCACACACTGGTGGGGATGAGCTACGATGTAGCCACAGCTGCCCTGGGGCGCACTGACAGAGGCGAGGCTG